CTACTAAAAAATACAAAATTAGCCAGGTGTGGTGATGCATGCCTGTAATCCCAGCTACTCGGGAGGCTGAGGCAGGAGAATCGCTTGAACCCAGGAGGCGGAGGTTACAGTGAGCTGAGATTGCGCCATTGTACTCCAGCCTGGGCAACAAGAGTGAAACTCTGTCTCAAAAAAAGAAAAAAAAAAAAAAAAGAGGAATCCTGAATTTGAGGCTGACAGTCCCTGTTGTGTGGGTGACAGTGTTGCTTTCTGGAGGAGACGATGAGGCCATTGCTCCCGCAGGTGAGGGTGCCGTGGCTGGCAAGGCCCTTCCCTGGCTTTTGGAGGGCTTTGCTGCCTTCACCTGCTTTGGAGCTCACCCTCATGCATGGCAATACTCGCTGAGGGCACCACTGTTTCATCGCTCCACCTCTACAGCTGGGCAGGGAAGAGGCCGGGCCATGGTTTCCAGCCTTGCCTGGGCCCACAGCTCCCAGGATGTTCTATGAGCCTGTTCTCTAATTTCCTAGACTTCAATTTGAAGCCCTGTAGGCCACAGCCTGTTCCTTGATTTCCACGGCTCCCCAGGTGGGACGTTAGGGGCAGTGTTGATTTCCCTCATGGCCTCCATAAGAGCACGTCCCGTGGACCATCCAAGGGAGTCTATGATCACCTCAGTTAAAGCTCTTCTCCCCTGCTTCCCATCAGCAGCCAAGTCAGCCCACCTTCCGGACCCAAATCGCCACGTGATCCTGAGGTCCTCCTGTCTTTAGAGAGTGTTCCTTACTGCTCCTAGGGTGTTTGCCTTCACTTCTCTTCAGCCGGTACTAACTTCACCGCTGGCTGCTTCAGGGTCACCTTCTCTCTGGACGGGACATTCTATAACTCGGGGTTCTTGTAGAGGGACAATGGCAGAGAGGCAGGGTTCCCGGCAGGGGCAGCCCCAGGGTGGCCAGGTGACAGTGGATGAAGGGCTCCCAGGACCCAGGCCCTCAGGAGTGCGGACGCCACTGCGGCCATGTAAGGGATTCTGCTGCCTTTGAAATGGGGGGACTCAGGCCCACCCCACCACGTGGACCTGCCTGGGGAACCATTCTGGATTCAAAAGACCCCTCAGATGGACTTTCTGGCTGTTTCTCTCTCTCCGGAGTTGTTTCCAGTTTGAGGCCCTGATGAATAAGGCACCGTGAACAATTTTGTGTATCTCTTTGTGGACATTTCTGAGTTTGTTTCCCTCGGGAAAATATCTCTGTGGGAAGGAGGGAGATAGAGGTTTACATTTCTTAGAAAACTTTAGATCATTTTCCACAGTGGTTGGAGCATTTTCCTCACACCAGCAGTGGGTGAGTGTCCCAGTCCTCTGGGTCCTGGCCAACCCCCAGGGGTCTCAGCATCAGCATGCGCAGTGTGGACCACTCTGGTGGGTGCGTGCAGAGGCAGCTCATGAGGTTTTCATTCGCACTCCCCTGATGATACACGATCACAGGCACCAGCTCTGTGCTTCCTCATCTCTGCATATCTGCCTCTGTAAATTAACTCTTCAGGCCTTTGTCTTTTTAGTATTGAGTTCTGCATTCTTCACCACCACCAGCAGAATCTCGCACTTTATAGATGAGGCATCCCCCGTGCAATCACACAGGTGGTCCATGCAGGGCTGGGCTTGGACTCGGCTCCTGACTCCAGTCACCTGTGCATGGCCTCAAAGTATAGAATATGCTGAGTGGCAGCAGAGAGGCCACTTGGCAGCAGGAGGCAGAGACACACAGCCACTTGCCTGTCTACAAGCAGTTATCTCTGCAGCTGATACCATCTCAGCTCCTGAAGCTGCCTGGGCTGCTCACTCCGGTCTACCCTCCCTGGCAATTGTGCTGTAAAATGATTTTGCAAAGCCTGCATTACATTCACTTCTCCTTGCTGGCAGTATGCCCTAGCTAACTCTGTAAATCACTTTCAGCTTTGAAGCCTCGGTGTAGAAACATGCAGAAGGGCCCCAGTTCTGTGTTCCTGCAGCACAGCGTAGCACTGGTGGTGGTGGGATTCCTTTCCTTGGCTTACGTGTACGGTTTGGACACAACAGAGCTGCTGACTGCTGCGTGGGCTCAGGTGACTGTCAGTGCCTTTCTCTGTGGTCATTTGGCTTCCTGTCAGTTTCCTTCCTCCTCCTCTGCCTCCCTCCTTTCCTCCTCTTCCTGTCTTGATTTCTCTTTGGTATACTGTTTATTTAATTGCCACGACTCTTTGAAAGGCCTTGAAGTCAAAACAGTCAGTTTCGATTCTCCTGCCCAAGAACTTCTACCCAGGACCTTCCTCCATCTCAGGACGCTGCCAAGGAAGTCTCCCCGGGCACAGCAGCAAGACCCATCTGAGAACCCCAGAGTCATATTTGCCTTGCTCTCAGGAGGCCACTTCAGCATTAGTGGGGAGCAGACACGTCCACATGTGTCACAGAGGAGAGAGTGGGCTCCCGGGCCTGCCTTCAGCGTGGCTCATGTGTAGCAGACGTGGCTAGTGTGTAGCAGGCCAGAGCCGACCTTTTTGGCTCACGTGTTCTACACGTAGTCTGTCAGCTGAGGATCCACCTCCACTGTCCAAGCTCTGTGTTCATTGTGCCTGAAACAAAGCCATTTGCATGGCGCTAACGCGGACAGATAGAGAGTAGCTATGGCTGCCTTTCTCATGAGGACCACTATGCCCTCAAGATCATCGTCTTCCTGCCTTTCAGGGTCTAGATCTTAGAATCCATGTGGGGACTTTGGAAAGCCTGCGAGCCTGCTTACCCTCCCTCCCATCCAAGCTGCAAAGCATGGAGGCTGGAAAGCAAGGCTGACCTTCATTCCTGTTCTGGGAGGATCAAGGGCAGGTGGAACATGCAGCTCCCGATAATGGTGACAGAGTCCCCGCGCGGTGCATTGGCCGAAAGGACACGGTGGGGCAGGGGTATGTGCTTCCTGGGGACGGCCAGGTTGGCTGCAGCCAGACTCCCCTCCCCAAGAGTCCTGCTGGCCCTGCTGCCACTTATAATGTCTTTTGACTGGGTGGACAGCAGAAAATACAAAAGCAATGTCAAGCTCCATCACTTAGAGGACAAATGTATATCATTATGCATTGATACTGCCTTTCCTGAAGTGGAAATTCTACTCAGGGTCCATGCCACCCCTTCCTCCAGTGAGTAATAGTGACCTTCCTCACTTGGAAATCTTTTCATTTTCTCTACTATAAAGCCCTTAGCGAGCCAACTCATTTGATTGTTCACACACCAATGAATACATCAGGGGATGAATAAGCAGAGTGGCTGGCGGGATGAGGACACAGAGCTGCACAGTGGAAAGTGTCAGGGCTGCTGGCTGCAGAGAGTGCTTTGTTGCAGACATCCAAGTTCGCTGGGCTCCCCTGGTGCTCCCTTCAGAAGAGTGTTGACTTAACGGCATGCGGGCTCTGGCAGTGCCACAAAGCTTTCGACCTGCTTCCTGACAGTCAGCATCAATTCTTTTTCTTCCCAGAGAATTTTTACGTACGGAAGTAGGGGGCTGGGCATGCTGGGGATGCCCCAGAGTGAGTCGTGCAGACAGCTCACAAGCTTCCGCCTTCCTTTACTTGGCTTCCTCTGTCCTAGTGGGGACCATCCTGCTCTCCTCTAAGTGCCATCAGTACAAATGATCAAAAATGATTTAACATCCACACTGCACACCAACGACATGAATAAAAGATTTAAAGACACTGCTACAGCCCATAGAGTTTACTCTTCAATTTTTTATCACCACGCTGCTTACCGGTCCGAGGATCTCCGCTGAGTAACTGAGCACTTGACTCTTCAACCTCAAGAGGCAGCCCTGCTCCGGGGCAGCGTTAAGAAGTGCTGAAGCGGGGACTTCTTCTTAGGGCTCCCCCAGCCTTGTTCTCCCCTTGACAGTGAGACCCTATAGTCAGACAAGCTCAGAAAAGTGTTTTCTTTTAGTTCGGTAGCAAAGCATTTTGTTGTTGCTGAGAATTGATTGATTGGCATTTCTGAGACTGGGGATCAAACCAGTCTCAGTTCCAGTTCCAGGAAGTGGGGAAGGCTTCCTGCCTTTTAGCTTTTGAAAGTTGCACTATGGAGAATGCTTTCTGAAGTGTAGGAAAAATATCCTTTTGTTCAAAGGACATCAGAATGTGGAGACTGTAGCACGTGGTAAGTCATCAGAAGCAGGGGAGGAGTTCTAAACAGCTGAGGGCCCAGGCCTCACCCCAGACCAATCACATGAAAATCACGAGCACAAGGTCCCAGCCATCAGCTGTCCTTCAAGTTTTCCAGATCCTATAGGCAGACAAGACTGAGAGCCATTGCTTTCACTGAGGTAGAGCAATCAGGTTATCCCTTGCTCCTCGAGTGAGTTTTATCATTTGTATTTTCAGGAAACTGGTCAATTTCATCTAAGTTACTGGATTTACAGGTACAGAGTTGTTCACAGAATTTTCTTATTCTCCTTTCAGTGTCCAAGGCATCGGGGTGGTGGCCCCTCTTTCATTCCTGATATCGATCATTTGTGTTGTCTTTATCTCCTGGTTAGCCTGGCTTATTCACTGTATTGATCTCTTCAAATTTTATGTTTCTTTTTTTCAAAGAACCGACATTTGGTTTTGTTGTTTTTCTCTACGTTTTTCCCATTTTTAATGTTATTCATTTATTCGCTGATTGTAGTTATTTCCTTCATTTTGTTTACTTTAATTTGTTATTTCTCTAGCGCTGTAAGAAGTTTGGACAGATATTAAATCTTTCATTTTTTTCTAAAATATGTATTTAATGCTATGCATTTCCCTTTGAGCATCGCTTTAACTATATCTCCAAAATTTTAAGTTATATTTTCATTTATACTTAGTTGAAATATTCTTAAGTTTTCCTTGAGATTTATTCTTTGACCATGGGTTATTGAGAAGTGTTTTTTTTTAAGTTCCAAATATTTGAGAAGTAATCTTTATCTTTCTGTTATTTATTTCTATCTGAATTATTTTGTTGTCTGCCACATACTTTTTATTTTTTCTACTGTTTTTAATCTTCTGAGGACTGTTTTGTGACCTGGAATATGGTCTATATTGTGACTGCTTCACGTGCCCTTGAGAAGAGGGTATATGATGCTGTTGTTGAATGAAATGTTCTTTTAATGTTCTTAAGGGTCAAGTTGATTGACAGTGCTATTCAGGTCATCTTTTCTGATTTACATCTTCCCTACTTTTCTTTCTGCTTAATTATCAATCACTGACAAATGAGCATGAAAATCTCTAACTACCATTGTATCTTCTTTCATTTCTATCAGTTTTTGCCTCATATTTTGACTCTGTGGTTAGGAGCGCATATGTTTAGGATTGTTATATCTTCTTGGATAATTGAACTTATCATCATATGCAATGAGCCTCTTTATCTGTGATGATCTTTGCTGTTCTGAAGTCAGCTTTGTCTGCAACGAATACAGCCACTTCAGCTTTATTTTCATCACTGTTAGAACAGTACCTCTTTTTCCATCCCTTAATTTTAATACATCTGTATCTCTATGTTTAAAGTAGGTTTCTTATAAACAGCATATAGCTGGGTCTCATTTTTAAAACTCCAGTTTGACAATACATCTTTTAACTCTCACATATAACTGATTATTAATACAGCTGGATTAATGGTGTCATCTTTGTATGGCGGTTGGATTTGTTCTGTTTCTCTCCCCTCATTTTCGGCCTCCTCTAGTTTCAATTGAACATTTTACATGATTTCATTTAATCTCCTCTACAGACTTATTATTTACACTTCTTTTTTAATGAATAGTTTAGCGGCTGCCCAGGGTTCACAATTTACATCTTACACTAACCTACATTTACCCTCGAATAATACCATATTACTCCACGCAGTTGCCTCACCACAGAGGATTTGCAGGTGCCCTTCTCACTCCTTGGGATACTGTTTTCATTTTTCTCCTGAACACATGCTATAATCACCACAAGCAGTGTTACTATTTTGCTTGAAACCGATAGTTATCTTTTAGATAAACTATGAGTAAGAAAAACAAAAGATTATATTTCACTTCTAGTTGTTCCTTTTTTGCTGTTCTTTCTTTCTTTATGTAGATCAAAATTTCTGACCTCTATCATTTTCCTTCTGTTTGAAGAATTTCTTTGCTATTTCTTACAGACTTCAGCCCTGCTGGCAGTGACTTCCCTAAGCTGTTTATGTGAGATACTTTTTATTTTATCCTTGACTTTTGAGGGATATTCTTACTGGATAGGCAATTCTAACTTGCCAGTGTTTTTTCTTATTTGTTTTTTTCTTCAAATCTTTAAAGATTGCACTCAACTGCATTCTTAGTTGCACAGTCTCTTCCTTTTCCTTTTTCTTTCTTTTTTTTTTTTGGGGGGGGGTCTTGTGCTGTCACTCAGGCTGGAGCACAGGGGCAATCTCCACTCACTGCAGGCTCCACTTCCTCCCAGGTTCAAGCAATTCTCCTGCCTCAGCCTCCTGATTAGCTGGGATTACAGAGTTGCACAGTTTCTGATGAGAAGTCTGTGGTAGTTTCAATCCTTGTTTCTCTAAAGAGAATGTTTTCATTCTTTTCAGATGTCTTCAAGATTTTCTCTTTGGTTTCAGTTTTCTATGGTTTAAACAGGATATATTACAGTTGCTTTTGGTTGTTGTTTGTTTTTGGTTTTTGTTCTAATTCTGCTTGATGTTTTCTTAGCTTCTTAGGACAGTGGCTTGGTGTCTATGACTACTATTGGAAAATTCTTGGCCATGACTTTTAAAACTATTTCTTGTTTCTTCTTCTGGTATTCCAATTTTCATATATGCTACACTAGTGTACCTTTTTAGAATGAGCAAGACAAATTTTCCATGGATCAGTGCTGCAGGGGATGGTTTCAGGATGAAACTGTTCCATCTCAGATGATCAGGCATTAGATTCTCATAAGACATGTGCAACCTATATCCCTCACATGTGCAGTTCATAATACAGTTTGCACTCCTATGTGAATCTAATGCCACCAGTGGCCTGACAGGAGGCAGAGCTCAGGTGGTAAGGCTTGCTCACCAGCCACTTACCTCCTGCTGTTTCTAAACCTGGGGGTGAGAGACCCCTTTGTTAAACCATTTCATATTGTTCCACATCTGGACTCTCTGTCCTGCTCTGTTTTATTTTCCGTTCTTTTTTCTCTTTGTGTTTCAGCTTGGGTTGTTTCCTTTTCCCCTATCCTCAAGGTCACCGATTCTTCCTTCAGCTGTGTCAAATGTGTCTGTTTTGTATTTCCGGCATTTCTTTTCATCTTTCTGCTGACATCCATATTCTTACATGTTGTGTACCTCTTCTATCAAAGTCTTTAACATATTGATCATAGTTGTTTTAAATTACATGTCTGATAATTCCAACATCTGAGTCATATCTGAGTTTGGTTCTGATGATTGTTTTGCTTCATCAGTGTTTTTTTGACTTGTGGCCTGCCTTGTAATATTTTGTTGAAATATAGACATATGGTACAGGGCAGAAGATACTGAGTTAAACATGAGTTTCAGGTGAGAACTGATGTTCATTTGGCCAGCAGTTGAAGTGTATTTGATGTTTGGTGTAGATTTAGGTATCAGAAACTTCTAATGTCCTTATTTTTGCCTCCTCTCTTGGCAGTTGGGCTCCCCTATATCTGGCAGCTCAGTCAGAGTATATGTCTTGCAGTTTTTCAAGCTCAACTCACGGTTATTATACTGGATGCTCATTCACACGGTGGTAGGGCACAGGGAGGGGGATATTCTCTGATCTTCTGATCAACTCTCATTCTTTGGAGTGCATAGTTGGCATGGGGTACGCTCCAGAAAAAGGTATGACTTTGAAATTTTTCTATCCCTTCCCAGGGTAGTGTTTCCCCCAAACAAAAGCATGGCACTGCTTCAGATACAGGGAAAGCAATGACACCCAGCAGACACATCAGCACATGGGTTTGGGACCAAATGGCAAAAGAGTTATTTAAATATATCAATGAGCAGAGTGCAAACTTAGAAATGCAGTATTTCAGCAAATCTGAGATAATACATTTTGCAAATGGCCACTTAACAAGAGACAATGCCAAATTGGTGTTTACCATGTGCTAGGCCAACCAACTGAAGCCTTCCAAGTGCAATGCACTTATGATGTGATAAATTATTTACTTAAGTGGCAAAAGTAAATAGGTAACCTTTCCCAACACTTTGTTTTTAGAATAACAAGATGCATGTGGAAGATTAGCAAATGCTTTAAGGCTGCTCTCTTTTGTTGAGAAAGTTTCTGTTCCTTTCTTGTACAGACACATAGCATCGGGCTGCAGATATTTGATTGAATATGCTAACTTAGCTTATTTTTTAACACTCTTAAAATATTTAAGGCTATCATTTAGCTTTGTCAACATAATGCTGTTTACTTTGTCCATTGAAGATCCATAAGATTCTTAGCCCTTCTATGTCCATCAGGTAATGTGTTCATCATCATTGCTATGTATGCCAATGGGCATCTGATAGGTATAACAGCATCTCAGTTAAAAATGCCTTTTACCTTTTACTGAAATAATGCCATGAACTTAGAAGAACTGACAGAAGGCATTTTAGGTCAAATAAATTTTGTTAATGTGGTATCTTGTTTGTGAATAAAGTGCTTGGGAAAATAATTGTTCTGTTATTCACTTTCCTATGAACCTAATAATACAAATATGTTCTGTGTATAATTTCCTTTCATCTTTGGAAATCCAGCTATGGCAGACTATACAGTACCAAAACAGCAGCTGCAGCCTTCCCATCCCTTATAATCTTCTAGGGCCTTGACATCTATGCCTCCTGTCATGAATGCCTTGGCCAGTAGCGTCCAGCAGAAGTGATGCTGCCTGGCTTTGAAGGCTGGGTCATAACCAGGTCTTGTGCTCCACCTTGCTCTAGGACATTTGCTTGGGGAACCCGGCTGCCATGCTGTGAGGAAGCTCAAATTAGCCCATGTGCAGAGACCACATGGAATGGCAATGAGATGAGCCGCCTATGGCTCCTATGGATAGCTTGTCCAAAGTCTCAGCCAACAGCCAGCACGGAGGACCAAACGTGGGAGTAAAGACACCTCCAGGTGTTTCCAGCCCCTAGCTGTCAGGTCACCCCCAGCCTTGGGTCTTCCTAGCTGAGGTCCCAGACATCATGGTGCAGAGACAAACCACCCTCATGGTGCCTCTTGAGCTTCCAACCACAGAAACCGTAAGCATAATGAAAAAGTTGTTTATGGAGCCATGTATGGGGAGCAGCAATAAATAGATAAGTGTCCTAAATAAAATGCTGAGGTTTATCAGAAAACTGGGAGTGGAGTCGTACATAAAATGCTTTCCTTTCAAACCGGTAAGAATCACACAGATTGTGGCTGGAAGGCTGCAGGAACTGGTGCTAGGTTATCCTGAAGAAGAACTGACCTGCTCCTGTAGGGTCTTAGGGAAGCTCTCCAGGGAGGCCAGAGTTTTAAACCTCTTATTAGTTGGATCCATATTTAACCCCGAGGGCCTCCATTTGCTCCTGTGCAAAGCTCCACAACGAGCCTCGCCTCATGCAGGGTCTGAACCTGGAAGCCTCAGCGTCGCCCCTTCTCTCCTCAATGCCCCTCAGATGGAAGACACTGATTTTACACATGAAAGTTAGCTGGGTCCTGCCACATGGGGTCTGGGATACAGTATCTTCTGGTCACTAAAAGATGACTTTCCCTGAATGGCGGGAGCTTTGTTGTCTAATAAGATAAGGAAAATATTGTGGTCAGTCTGGGCTATGCTATCACATAGTGGCAACACTACATTTATCTTAATTATAAACAATAAAAATAAATACAATGTGTAAGCAAGGCTCTTGAATTACGTGTGTGCGTGCACATGCAAATACATGCGCTTGTTTATGCCACATAAATGGTAGCTCCCCTGAGAATCACCCGGAAGAGGGGAGAGCCTGGGGAAAGGGAGAGCCCAGGGAGAGGGGAGAGCCCTGGGAGGGGGGAGAGCCCTGGGAGGGGGGAGATCCCCGGGAGGGGGGAGATCAGGAACGCGAGGATGGCAGACTTGTCTCTGTTACCACTTTACAAACACTGGGAAGCGAAACAAGACTGAATTAGTGTTGTACAAGTGACTGGCTACCTTTCACAGCAGCAATATTTAAAGAGAACAGACTTGAGGATCACAACGACCACTGGCCCAGGAGGGATGGCCCTGGGCCCCCACTTTTCAGTGAAGCTGCAGGGAAGGCCTTACGAGCCTACACAGACACACTGCACAGCCAGTCCGGATCCTTCTTACGCGCCCTGATTAAAGGCTCCTCGGGGCGTGGCAGTGGTCAGCGTGGCTGAGGGCAGAGGGTTCCACTAAGTCAGACTCACAGGCTTGACATAGACTTTTTCATTTTTCCAGCATTTAGAACAGTGTGATAGACCCAAGACCACAGCTTCTCTTTAACCCCTTCGGCAGTTTTAAATTGTAGGATGCTTCCACACTCCTGCCCCCGAAAGGAGACCGTAAACCTCAGCCTTCTCATAGACGAGCAGGAGGTTCTGCAGAGGCCAAACTTGGAGAAAAACAGGTGCATTTTGTGTCCCTCTATATGATTTGACGATATTTTTGTTGTCACAATTAAGGAAATACAAGCCCTAATACCCTGGTCACTTGGTTACAGGAGTTACATACATGAAACAACCAAAAGAAGAAAATAGGATAAAGAGTCTCATGGAGGGGAAGAGGTAAGAGACACGAGAGACTCATTCAAAAGAAGAAAAGGTCACCGCGGCTATTCTCAGCGTGTAAAGTATTCCATTAGCTTCCTCATGTGGAGGACATTAGCATTATGCACAGTGGGAAGGGACGTTTTTAACACGGAATCTCTTCTTCCAGCTTCAAAAGATGAGAGGAAAATATAAAGGTAATGCAGCTGCTGTTTGGACAATGTCTTTTTCTCCTCAGAGTAGAGAGAATACTTCTCTGAGTTGGCAGAACAGCAGGCTGGTTGGGACATAATTTGCCTGGTCAGAAATGACCCCAGCAAGGGGAGAGGCTGAGCCCCATGGTACACAGGAGGCCGGGTGCTCTGAATCCCAGAGATGGTACAGAACCTCTCCCCGGGCTCTCCCCTCTTCCCCAGGCTCTCCCCCCTCCCCGGGGTCTCCCCTCTTCCCCAGGATCTCCCCCCTCCGGGGCTCTCCCCCCTCCCCCGGGATCTCCCCCTCCCCCGGGATCTCCCCCTTCCCCAGGCTCTCCCCCCTCCCCGGGCTCTCCCCCCTCCCCGGGCTCTCCCCCCTCCCGGGGCTCTCCCCCCTCCTGGGACTCTCCCCTCTCCCAGGACTCTCCCCCTTCCCAGGACTCTCCCCCCTCCCCAGGCTCTTCCTCTCTCCAGGCTCTCCCCTCTTCCTGGGCTCTCCCTCAGGAACCCCCTCCTGGGGCTCTCTCCCTTCCCTGGGCTCTCTCCCTTCCCCAGGGTCTCCCCACTCCCCGGGCTCTCCCCTGTCCCTGGGCTGTCCCCCTTCCCTGGGCTCTGCCCCCTTCCCAGGCTCTCCCAGACCCTCCCCCAGCACCCCTTTCAGAGGCTCTCCCTAAGGATCCCTCCTTCCTGGGCTCTCCCTCAGCCTCCCGTAGGTTCTCCTTGGCCAGCAGCCCAGCTGAGAGAGTGTCCTGGGCTTGCCCACACTTTTGAGGGGCTTCCTTGTGGTAAATCTCAGAAGGCCTGGCCAGGTTGGCTGGGGAGACAGAATGAAATGGGTCGCCTGGGTCTGGGGCCCTTCCGCAGAAGGAGGGGCTCTCACAAAGCCCAGTCCTCAGGAGCACTGTGCGGTGTCTAGAAGCTATTAAAGGTCCTGTCTCACAGGCAGTGCTGCTGCGCCTCCAAGGACGCAGCTGTGACGGTGAGGAAGGCATGCACGTCTGCTCCCAGCTTTCCTGGGTTCAGAGCAGTGCTGTGCCCCTTTTTGTCCCCCAGTCAGCTGGGTCAGGAGGTGACAGGGTGGCAGGGAGGAGGGTGTCCTGATGGGACAGAGTCGGGACTAAGTTTAGGAGGTGGGGGGAAGGAAGTTTGCAGGCCAGGAGCACGGAGGTTCCATGGGGACGGTGGAGGGTGAGCAGTCCCTCACAGAGCCACGCCATGGGGTGTGGTCCCGAGCTGTGCAGAACCCTGGGGAAAGCATCTGGGCGGCCGCGTCTTCTCAGCCCACCTGCCACACCGGGTACATTTTCTGTCTGTTATGTAACTCTCCCCGGACACCTAAGCAGCTGCAGGAGGAGGGGAGGCCTGAGGGTGAACACGGGTGCTGCAGAGGGCCATGGAAGGAGGCAGTTACCTCCAGAAGCCACCAAAGCCCCCTCCTCGACCCACATCCTGAGGGTCAGCAGTCACTGGGGCTCTGCTACCTGGCCTGGTATTTCAAACCCTACAAGGACAGGGCTTGGTCCTGCTCTGTGCTTTGTCCTCAGTGCTGGTATCCTGCATGGAGACAGCAGGAGCTCAGTGAAGGTGGAAGTGCATGCCCTACGAGGAGCAGCCGGCGCAACAGCAGCAGACAGCGAAGTTAGCAGGTGATTTTCTCTCCTCCAGACGCAGCCAGCTGCCGTCCGGGTGTGAAGGCTGAAGCGCGTCCAGCTGCCTCAGCCCTGCACCTGCTCCTTTCTGCTCTGCCTTGCAGGGGCCTCCTCGCTCCTTCTCCTGGGAGCTACTGCTGCTTCCCACAAATTAGCTCCTGCACTTTCTCCTGCTGAACCTTGAAACCTGGGCCCTGCAGTGGCTGACGGTGCAGAGGGCGGGCGGAGGGAAGGCCGGTCGGCCCAGCCTGGCGCTGGCAACGTGACCTTAGCCCTGTCTGAAATGGAAGCTTCAGTTCCCTTTGCATTAAAATCCCCAGAGGCAGAGCTGGGGGGGGGGTTGTAGATGGAGGAGGGAAGTCAGCCCCTGGAAAGGCCTTGGTAAAATGCCTTGAGCTGGGTGGGAAGGAGGTGCTGGCCAGGTGGACAACATGTCACAATGCCAAGTGGGGAACCTCACCTTCTTAGAGACACAGTCCCTGGCTTGGAATAGTGACCTTGAATGTATACAATAAAATACAGACACTTAAAAGAGGAACCAAATATATTGAAATGGGGCTTTGGAAATATTAAAAATCATAATCGATATAGAAATATATGGGCTACTTTGTTAAGACACTAAATAACGACTGACATTTGGGCCTGCATTTTTAAAGTAGTGATGAGCATTAACAGTATTTTAAGATACCTTCAACAGCTTTTGTGTGATGTGAAGACATCTGTGGTTTCTCCTGGTGCAAAGTCACCACAAACTCTGCTGTGTGTTGCTTACCCTCCTAATTGGAGGGAGTGCTAAATTTCAGTTAGAGGTTGGTAAAAATAATGACATCATTAAGACATGAGTTACATAATTCATTTTCCATCCAGGCGCGTGGCTGTCCTAAATCATTTCCCTGGACCTCTTAGGAGTCCTTCCTCTAGAGGGGAGATGGGCGGGGAGAGGAGAGGGGCGGGGAGGGGAGAGCGGAGGAATCCCATGCTCTGAGCTGCAGAAGGATGCTAAGAACATGGGCAGCAGCGTGCAGAGAGGAGGAGGTGGAAGATGAAAGACTGCAGACCTTTCGTTGGGCGCCTGTTTCGGGGACGGCAGTGTGGGGGTAAACTGAGGACCTGTGTCTCCTCTAAAAACGTGCCTGTGAGGAGAGGCCACCTGGAGGGGAACCTGGGTGTGCTCTGGACCCGAAAAAACCCTGCCTAGCCCTGGAGCCACGGGGAGGATGAAGTGGGTACAGCGTGGGTTCCTCGTGCTCCCAGGTTCCCACAAAGCCCTGCAGTCTTCACAGAGGGGCCCGGCAATTAGAGCACGGTGGCCTCTCTTGCTGTCAGGAGCTTGGTCTGGGAGGGTGCTAGAGAGGCTGTAAGGAGCAGAAGCTGGAGTGGAAAGATCGAGGCTGAACCCAGTCTCACCCATCAGCCCCTTAGGGATTTCAGGTGGGTGGTGGGCTTCTTTGATTCTGAGTCCCTGTTTCCTGCAACACGGAGTAACTCCCCTCCGTGGGCTCATTTCATTTCACACGTGTGTTGAGTGTGAGGATCTTTAGAAGAACATCACACAGAAGAGGCAGGCTATTCGGGTGGCCAAAAGCTGTGTGGGCCGATTACATGGATGTTCAAATATTAGCAAGGAAGCTGCTTAACCTACTTAAGATACTAATGTCCTTAAGAATTTTGATAAACATGTAGAATTGGTTGTTAATTTCAACTATTAGCTTTCACTTATTAAAGTAGGCCACTGAAAGAATTCCTTTGAAACATAAACTTGTTAATTGCAAGGTAACAGAAGTGCTTGAAAGCAATAATGCTGCATTAAAATATTTGACAAGTCAGATGTTTGAGAACGTTTCCTCACACCTGGTCCAAACTATAAAGTATTGTTAAGTTCTGTTCATTTCATTCTCCACTCACCAACTACATTAATTTATGCATATAAATATTCTAAGTATAGCCTAAGCATTTAAATAGGCAAAGCCGGACCTCTTGACAATCTGTCAATAATTAGCACTTTAATAGTATTTGTGTTTTATTTATACGCTGACAACTTCCAGAAAGGATCTGTGTGGAGGGTTAGCTCATTCCTCCTATGTGACTTCCTTCCTTCCTTTCTTTTCTCCCTTCCTTCCTTCTTTTGATTTTCCTAGTCCCAATTTCTAAGATCTAATTAAATATATTGCTGTGACAACTTCGGAATCTTAAATTAGCAACGTTAGGTCCGTTCCCCTCAGATTCTGTTTTCACTGGAGAGCAGGAGGTTTGGGGAAACTGCTTTATTCTTGGTTGCTGCCTCCCTACTTCACTCTCTTCGGCAACCAGTCAAACAAACTAACAAATAAAAAGTATATTTACTATATTCCTTTACCAAGCCTCCAGTTACATGAATACTGAAAAGTCTAATCATGCACTTTAACATCTCAGAGTGAGGCTGGGTGCAGTAGCCCATGCCTGTAATCCAGCACTTTGGGAGGCTGAGGTGGGAGGATCATTTGAGCCCAGGAGTTCAAGACCAGCCTAGGCAACATAGTGAGACTTTGTCTCTACAAAAAATTTAAAAATAGTTTACTCATGTGTGGTGGCCACGGTGGTGTGTGCCTGTAGTCCCAGCTACTTGGGAGGCTGAGGATTGACTGAGCCCCGGAGGTCAAGGCTGCTATGAGCCATGGTAGTGCCATTGCACTCAAGCCTGGGCAAGAGAGAGAAACTGTGAAAACGAGAAAAGATCTGAGAGTGATGCCTGCCCCGCTGGCAATCAGGGCGCTCTCCACAGTCCACCTCAGCAAGCACTGGTAAGCTGCCTCTCTCCCCTACCTGGGAGGCGGCATGGCCTCTCCGTTCAGGCTTCCCTGCAAAGCCCTAGATTACCATTCTCCTCTGTCTCTAGACACTAAGAATCCAGGCTCCAAATCCCATTTATGCCATTTATGCCCTCGTCCTTTGGGTGTTACAGTTTAAGCTGGGAACGACCCCTGAAGTTCCCACTGTAACTGGAGAAGAGCTGTAGGGCACAGCCGTCCACCTGGAGGGGCTCTGGGGACACGGGGGGAGCTGGCTTTGTGTGGGCTGAGCGGGAGTTCCCGGCAGTGTCAGGAGGAGGGCAAGCATGAAGGGAGAGCCTCCATGTGGAGGTGCCGAGGGGGGGCGTGGGGTGGCTTTGGGACCTGTAATGGGGGACACAGGAGGCACGGGATCTGGCTAGGCACAATGGGTGGGGTAAGGGCAAGTCATTGCCCAGTCCTCATTCCATGCTAGGGGCCATGGGCAGGTCTGTGTCATGGAAAGCTGACTGTGAGGCCAGTAAGGAGACTGTGCCAGGCCCGGGCATGCAGCTCTGTCCAGGGATACCGCGGGAGAGGGGGCGGCTGTCGGGGCGGAGGGCGCCGTCTCTCTGACGCTTTACGGCACACACGGCTGTCGGGGCGGAGGGTGCCGTCTCTCTGATGTTCTACAGCACACACAGCAGCTGCCAGCCTTGTCATATCTTTTCTTATCTCAGAGGCCCTGGGATGGGGAGTAACTGGTCCAGGGTCACACAGCTGGGACAGGCTGTCACCAGGATGCTTTCCAAATTTCCAACCCCAAGCACCCAGACCCTTTATCTGAGAAACAGGGAGGTCTGGTATCTTCTAGGTTGCCTTGGAGGTGGGCAGTTTCGCCAAGCGTTGGGAGGGTGTGCTCTGACACCCTGCCTTCATCGCACCCCATGGTGCCATCTCCCGGAGACGCAGTCTCCTCATCTGTAAAGCATTCCTCCCCAGCTCATGAGTGCTGTGGGGCACGCGTGTGACGGAGCTCATGAAGCACTCAGCATGGTGCCTGGCACACGGGGAAGAGCTCAGGATGTGACGGCCTGTGGCTGAGGTTGGCATGCAGGCTGTGTCCCATTGCTGCGGGGGACACCCTCTGGAGATTGCCCCTACCCCTAAGTGGCTGGCAGAGATGTGTCTAGATCCGGGAGCCTCCCAGACCCGAAGTTCTTGACTCCTACAACCATCTGTTGATGGGCCACCAAGAGCTGGAACCCTTCATAGACACTTTTTGACGATGAAGAGCTATTATAATTCTATGCTGGGACTGAGGGGATATTTCTGAGTTAAGCTATACTTAGAAACATAGCTAAGGTTAACTTTCCTTTAAGCCTTTACTCCTAGCTTTTGAATTCTGTTAAGTTACTGGGAAACAAAATTAATCTTTTGCAGGTTAATGAAAGGTTGTGCCAAGATCAGTTTTAAGTCCTGTTGCCAAAGCCATTCTTCAGTCTTATGGGTTGGGATGCCACGTGTCACGACAGTGCAGTCTGCTTTCTTCTCCTCCTTTAAGACAAGTGCACCAGGGTGTTTATGTCAGTAGGGACCGTCACAATATTCCCAAGTATGCTCAGGACTCAGGGCACCTGATGTCTGTCCTGGCACCAAAGGGTTAAGCCCTGTTCAAAAATTAAAGATATCATCTTCCCAGCCCTTTCAGCCTGCGTCAGACTTTTCCTATCTAAATAATTATTTGGAGAAAAAAAAAGTCTTGGGTGAGATATGCAGATGCCCTCGGTGGCCTCTATGCTCCTAAGTGGTGATGAGGATTAATGAAGAATTTGTAGAAAGAATTGGCCTTTCTCATGAAAGGCACACAATGGTGGCAGGTTGAATTGTTTGCCTCTAACAAGCAGGCCCTTAAAGAACTTGATACAGACACCATGTGGTATTCCCTGGGGGAATATTTTTCTTGCTCTCGCCATTAAGTGGCTATGTCCCTGTCAGCACAGTTATGCACGGGAACTGGATATGTCAAGAACACTCTCATTAAGACATGCAATTACAGGAAGCAGTGCAGGCTGTGGTGTTCCCTGTATTTTATTTTAGAACACCTGAATTACAGGGTTCTCCCGTTCTCAGGGATCACATCCGACAGTAATAGCAAGAGGGCTCTGGCCGGATTCCCTGTGATTCTTGAGCTCGGAATGCTCAAGAGAGATCAGCACCATGGGCTAAAACAGAACAGAGCAGGGCTTTTCCCTGGAGAGGGTCACGCTGCATGAGGAGGAGCCTGGGAGAGGGCACCTGGCTGGATTCCTGCGGAGGAATTGGGTTGAAGGCTTCCGGGCAGGGGCTGAGGAAGAGCTCCTGGAGGGGTGACATGGGAGGAGAGGCCATGAAAAGCAGGAGTGACCCTGTCAGGGAGAAGGTCAGGCAGCTTCCTGAAGGGCTCTGCCTCCCTCCAGACTCATCAGCTCATCAGCCGATTTGGGGCAACTCCCTTTCTCACCATTTGACTTTCATGCATAATGCATTGTGCCCTGCTGAGAGTGTCACTTGCAAGATGCCTTTCCAATTACCTAAAACCCAGCTTAAGGACCAGAACAATCAGGCAGTGCATAAATCTGAGCTTCTTTTGTGGGTGGTGTGTGTGACTCAGGAGCCCTGCTGTGGAATCAGAGATGGAGATAGTACATTCATTCTGGCTGATTAGCACTCGGCGCCCCCCGTGTGCAGAGCTACATGCATAAACATGCTCCCGGGTGCCCACAGCGGGCGATCCTGAATCGCTGCATGGACACAGGTGGCTCTGGAATGAAGAATCACCACTTCAATGTCCCTTTTGGTTTCCACACTCTGTATGACATCCCCAAAGGAATGCAAAGCATTTTATACACCTATAAAGACCAGGGCAAATTATTCAAAGTTATCACAGGAATGCAGAGAGTCATTCTACAGCTGAGCTTGGAGAGCCTCAAGATGCCCCGTCTCTCCACCCACCAGTGTCAATCGAAGATTAACCGGGTGAGAACTGCAACTTCCCCGTATTCACCTACGTTTAGGATTCCTGGCAGCACCACAAAGTATTGCCCACCTGCTCTCCATGTTTTCTGTGCCTGAAAACCACTGCAGAATGTCCTGGAAGCTCCTGTGTCTTTCCTGGTGACCAAGAAGAGACGACCGGAGGCCCCATGTGGTGGTGGTGGGCAGTACTGCACATGGGATACGCCTGCACACAGGGATGTGGCAGGGAGGTTAACGGCAGAATGGGGGAAATGGGGAAGCCTTGCAGGCGTGTCTGGAAAACACAGCAGTTTGGGTGGAGTGGGCTCTTGAGGGGTGATACTGTCCAGATGGAGGTCGGGCCTTGCACAGTGAGCTGAGATATGAATGTTCAAGTGGCCTCAAATCGTGGAGCTTCCGGGGAATCACAGCTGTGCTGGTGGCTCTGGTTATAAACTCATCCTTCCAATTTTCTATACTCTAGTGCAGGGCCAGCTCTCAAGGGCACCTCCCTCTGCCCGTCTGTTTTGGTATTTCCAAGTCTCCTGAGCAATCTGCAGTCCTGTTGCATCATCATTTATTTCCGAATTCACTGAGGCATTTCCAGCTCCCAGCTGAGCTCTGGGGCTCGCCATCCTCTGCTTCCGTGTGCGCCTGGGCGCTGCCACAACGCAAAGCTTCCAGGGACGTACATACAGGCTGGTACAAGTGAAGGCTGCAGTTGTGCTCCGGAGACCCTTTACTACTTTACACGTAGTCTAGACAGGTTAAAAATAAAGAGTGCCCCGTCTAAAAGGAAGGACAGAAAAAGGAAAGCAAAGGGTATCCCACATCCTCCTTCCATGTCAAGGCACAAGCTCAAGGTCATTTCTTCATCTCGAAATTGAGCATTCGCTATGCTCTCTGTCCAGGATTCTTATAACTCCCTAAGTACCAGAAAATGCTACAGCTAAGTAAAGAGGCAAGAAAAGGGGGACACTGCCGAGGACAGCCACCTCCAGAGTCGTGAAGCATGGGTCCTGTCCTCTTGCTATGTCATTGTTTTACAGCAGAGGTGCAGATGGTAATGTGATGAGCACCTTTAAAATGCTCATGACCCTGAGACGTACCTAAAGTCGGCCTGGATTCCCATGAGAATCTACAATGTGCTGATCAACCAATGACTCATTTGTCACCTCCCTTCTTGAATCTATAAATTTGGCTTGCACCAACATACGTGTGAGTCCAGACACACACAATTACTGTCCTCCGCGCAAAGCAGTACTGCATGCTGTTTTTCCGAACATCATCTAATCTTAGCTTTAATTCTAGGATGCAGGGGTTGGTCAAGAGAACTGAGCTTATATTATCAATATCATTCACACGATTCTCTCCACCTGCACCACTTCTCAGCCCCATCCTTCCTGATGGCCATCAGGCATTCTGAGAGGTACTTATTCCCTCATTTCTGGCTGAAAGCTTTTCCTTACCAACAGGAAAGATGGTTCCGTCACCTTCTAATTATTGTCTCATCCGTGAGATCAGCGTAGGTAATACCCTGTGTATTCTTTCCAAGTATCTTGCCATGTGCACGCATTTCATTTTCCTGTGTACAGTATGGACACAGGGGCCCTGCAGTACTGTCACTTGGAGTGGGTCAGTTGGTGGGTGATGGATTTAAGATTTTATTGGCCAGGCGTGGTGACTTAACGCTTGTAATCCCAGCACTTTGGGAG